CCAGACGGCCCCCGATTCTTTCGGGGAGAGTATGATTGCGATGTCACAATGCGCGGGGTAATTCCGATATTCACTTCTGTCTACTGACACGCAATGAATGTGTGTCCGGGACTGGGAGAGGCCTCCCGTGATGATGCCCTTCGCCAAGATCGAGCCGTAGAAGTCCCAGTTGGTTGCATGGAGGACGTGCTCCGGCAACTCGGCATCCCCAAGGGGCCGCATGACCGCTTCATCACGTAGTCCTTTCTTGGAGTGACCTTGAACCGCCCTGATGTAGAGATCGGCACCGCGCCATCCGAGCGCGAAGCGTTGCTTGTCGTTCCAGTAGACCACCGAGCGGATGTAGTTGAGGGTTGCCCCCTTCTCCTTCATGATGGAGGTACGTAAAAGGTCTGACACCTTGGTCCACCCTGCCTCGTCGAACGTCAAGCCGAAGTCTTCAGAGTCGTGCCTCAGAACAACTGACAGTCTTTTGGAGAGAGACTGATCCAGTTTCCAGTAGAGCTTCGTCGGCTCCCCAAGGGGGGCCGAATCGCGTGCTGGCGTGGGCAGAGAGGTGCCATCACTGCTGGCGTAGGTCGTCTCCGTGTAGATGTTATATCTCTCGACCCTGCGCGGGGAGTGGGGGATGCTGCCAGATTGATTTGGTGGCGTTTGCCCCGTTGGGTAGTCAACCTCCATCTCCACATAGGCATCAGACGAAGCCAGCTCGGCAGTCCTGGTTGCAGGAGCCGTGTTTCCCATGTGCTTGGAGGTCCTGTCCGGCATGTCATCATCTCTGCTGTCCTGGCTGGTTTGGTCCTGAATTGCCACACGGACAATTTGCTCATCATCCTTCAGTTGCTCGGTGGGGAAGTAGTAGTCGAATTTGATTGCCAGGTCTTGATGACTATCGAACCAATGGATTTGTTCATGCAGCGACATGGGGACTCCCTCAAACAGTGCGATGACGCTGTGCAGCATGCCGGCGAACTGGGTGAGGATGGGCTCGAAGTCCGCATCTTTGGACAGGCTCCATAACCAGCATTCCACAGCTGTGCCGAAGGTGGAGTGGTTCGCGTAGTGGAGCTTGTCTCTGGAAATCAGGCACATGGCAAACGCAAGGTTCCAGTTGCCTGCGGCCGGGATGATCTTCAGGGACTCCGAGTGGTGGAAGTCGTCATGATGCTTGACGAAGTGCCCCATTTCGAAGAAAGTTTTGAACATGAGGGCGACCTTCTTTTTGCGCAGGACATTGATGTCATCTTCGATGATGGCCAGCAGGTTCCACTTCTCACGCACGGCTCTCAAGGATTGTGGAGGCACACTGTCTCGGGCAGGGGGGACGAACTGCTTGAGGCCCTCGGAGACATGCTGGGCAGGGGCCGGGGGAACGGCTCCCTCTATGGTAGGCCTCCTTTGCTCGCTCGAGCTGCTAGCCTGCTGTCTCTTCTTTGGCGATGCCGGTGGGTCTGGCGGTTTCTGCCGGAACCACCATTCTCCCTGCCACCAGATCTTGAGGTAGCCCTCTTCGTCTTCCGTCGCATGCACTTCGTGCCGGTCACTGGTGTCAAACTGGTAGTCCTCATCATCTTCGTCCTCCTCGTCGTAGTACCAGTCCTGATGTTGATCCCGGGGCCGAGCGTCGGCTCCCCGCGCATTCTGCCAGTGTGGCTGTCGGCTCTCGCGATCGGCCGCTTGTCGCCAGGGCTGCTGATTCATCTCCTGAGCACGGGGGGCCGCAGTGTCGGCTCTTTCCCTTTGATTGCCAGGGGCATTGCGGCGAGCACTGCGGGCAGCCAGTTCATTGCGGGTGCGCCTCCTAGTGCCGTCGGGCCTGACCCGAGCTCGGGGATATCGATGCCACTTTTGATCTGACATGCTATCGGCAAAGACACCACACATGTATATGCTGATGCAATCAGGCGTGGCGTGCATCATGTTCCTGCAGCCCGGCAACCACTCTACAACACGGATCTCCATTCTCGCACTTAGAAACCCCGAGGTCCTCCCACAGGTGCTTTGTGTAGGGCCGAATACGGCACCCGCAGCTCTTCGGTTTGAAGTGACCTGGGCATATAGTCCGGGTTTGGGGCGGGTATGACATCTGCGAGTGTCTGGCAATGGGAGTACAGTCGGGTGCAGGGCTATGCATCTTGCTACACCGAGTTTCCCACTTCGGGTACACTGCACCTGGGATGCGAGCATGTTAAGGATTTGACTGGGTATCAGGGCTGGCGTTCCGTGCCGAGCATAGCTAACTGCGACAGGGCACATATTCCACATGTGTCTACGGTGAGGCCCTCGAAGAGTCAAGGAAGGCCTTCGGTAGGTGCCTCTAACAAGCATCAGTTTCGGCCTGCAAGGTCTCACACTTAGCGAGAAGTTCTGCAGCCTTCTTTCGCCTCTTCCTAGGAGGTAGACTTCGAATGTCTCCGAGGAGTCTGGTGATAAGGCCCGCACATGAACCTGTGGAAATTGCGTATGCCACAGCATTGCTCGATATGCCCACCTTGCGACCCTTAGGTTGTGGTGGCGGCTCTGAGTCTGTCGAGAGTGAGTCGTCGGTGCCCGGTCCTTGTGCAGGGCTGGAGGATTGACCTGGGCCATCGGCTTCCCCCGGGCTGGGGCCGATTGTGGGACTGTCGGTCCTGTCCGCTGGGAGCATGTTTGTCTCATGTGCGGAGCTCTCTGATTCGCTCCAGTCCAGGAGCCCTTGCGCGCTCCTCGGCACTCCATGGATTCTGTCATTTGAAGAGGAACTAGCGAGCGGTGGTGATGGGAGCTGCAATGAGGGGGGCAAAGATGGAAGCTTCTGTTGGTTTGGGGGGGGGGTTGGGGCTTGGGGTCCTCTCTTATTTCGTGCGCTGGCTTTGGAGCTGGCTCCCCTAGGGGCCGTTGACTGCACATAGTGGGATCTGGCCGACCAGTGCGCCTCATGGCACTGTCGTAGGCGGGGATGCATCTGCGGCAAAGGATGACTGTGAATATCAAGTGCAGAGCGAGATTCATGGTTTGTCTGAGATCAGGCTGATAAGAGTCTTTGCAAGTTGTTGCTCAAGTGCTACACACAACAACGGGAACCTGACAGAAATGATGGCCACCAGCTGAAGTCCCTGTTCTCTCGGTAGAACCTCAAGGATCGCTGGCACAAGTTCGTCTGCAGTATCCTGATTCCACAGCTGCCCTGCGAGGGCACTGTCAATGTCAATAGTGTCTTGACTTTTCAGCAAGCAGTCTGCAACCAGTTCCAGAGCCACAACGCGAATCTGAGTAACAGGCAGAATGGCTTCTAATGGTGAGAAGAGTACAGAAATCACCGAAGGGGCACTACGGTCAGCTAGTGGGGGCCCGCTATACGAAACGCTGAGAGCCGAGACGCTTATGATAGTTTTCAAAAGGATTCATACGCTTTGAAGCAAGCTTGAGCGACTCAAAAACGTAAAAAGCAGGGGGGGGTTGGGTTGCAAACACAATGCTCGCAAGATGGCTTTCAAAAAGGTTCACACGCTGTGAAGCAAGCTTTGCGCGGCTCAAAAACTTAAAACAGCGGGAGGGTTGGGGGGACAGCCCTCCATTTGCCAACATTGCTCGCATGATCGAAAGGCTCACAGGTTTGAAGCAAGCTCTGCACGGTTCAAACATGGGATATGAGTCACGAGTACTTGTTTTTTCTAACTTTGAACCGTTGAGAGCTTGAAACGCTGCAACACCATTGTTACTCTGGTGCTTCAAAACTTCGAACTCTGAAGAATGAGAACGAGGAACGGCACGGAGATCGAAAGTTTGAAGTTTGAAGGTTGCTTAGTGCTCGAAATTCGGAAGCGAAATCGAGTTTGAAAGTTTGAAGCCTAGTCCGTGAACCTAAGGCAAACACGACAAGAGCGGGTTTCGATTTCGAAAGTTTCATCGAAGTTGAGTTTGGAATTCGAGAGCCTTTGGGGTTTCGGAGTTTCGGAGCTTGAGAGTTTCGAAATATGAGAGATCGAAAGTTTGAAGCGTCCAGAAAGCTCGGAGTTTGAAAGTTCGAAAGCCGTACGAGTTTGAAAGCTCGACGGCTGAAACTTTGAAGCACGATTTGCGGCTTGAAAGTTCGAACGGCACGAATCTGAGAGTTTGAGAGTTTGGCCGCATGCTCAGACCACATCGACTGCGAATGTCACACTGCGCAGACGCCCCAACCCCTACTCGTGCATTCGTTCGCCAGCACGTCAGCCAGCAATTCGGGCGAGGGGCCAGAACTCGTAAAAAGGCTGGTTCTGGGGCGGGGTCTGGGGTCATACTCGGGGTTGGTTCTGGGTCATGCCCGGTATCATGTGTCCCGCCTCTTTCGTTTCTTCATCTCGTCTCCTGCTTCGTTCATATCCGTGTCTTCGCCGTATCCGTTCTATCAGTCCTTGCCTGATCCTTCATTATATACTCATCCTTCATCTTTCTCATCATCTTCATCGTCGCCTCTTTCGTTTCTCCTCCGTGACTTCATGTAACTATTGTTCTTCATTCCACCCCTTCATTCGTTGTCATAAATAATAATAATAATAATAATAATAATAATAATAATAATAATAATAATAATAATAATAATAATAATAACAATAATATCGTCTCTCGTGTGTGGTCGTCTCTTTATTCCAAACAGGATAGAAAGTGCATATTGCATGGGGTCAAACGTGTTTAGGAGCTGCACTCAAAAGCCTCGGGGGTGGGTGGGAGGAAAAGCACGAAGAAGACTCGAACCTTGTTTTGTCCCGCACAGCCTGCTGCACAGTCACCGCTCGTTTAAAACAAGAAAAGAGGAGATGCGGAGAGCAAGACTCCCCTTTCGACGTTGAGGTGTCGCACTCCGTCTCACCTGCATTGACGGTCCTCGCTTAAACCTGAGAAGATGCCCTTCGCGATTCGATCCGCCTCCTGGTTGCCATCACGTGGCCTCCAGTTGAGGGGACACCTGATGCCCACCGTGTCGCACCATGGCAGAGAGTTTGAGATGGAAGTTAAAACCATGGCATACAAATCGGATCTCACAACTCTGCGTACTCCTGCGGCTGCATTTGTTCGTCGCACAGTGTCATGACGTACTGGATCAAGAGCACTGCATCATCCGAGGACATCTTGACCAGGAGTTGCACTGCTTGCTCAATATCACTGGGCCTGCATGTGAGGGGCCCATCTTTACAGGCAAGTGCTTCGAGCTGCTCCATCCATGAAGCACACAGTCCACTTGTCAACAGCGATTGTGGCAGCGATTTGTGTGCTGTCGCAAGAGCACAGGCATGTCGATAGGAAGGCAGCTTCTTCTGACCAAGCTGCAGCCACAAGGTGGTGAGCTCCTCGTTGGCCTTCAAAGGCGGGACGGCATCGGCCAACTCAACGCGTGGTATCAGGTCCCAATCCGCCGAGGCCGGAGGCCTGAGGCGTTTAGATCCAAGTCTGAACACTAGGAAGTGTATCCCAGGGCGCCGCGCTCCGCCGACACAGTGCGGGCAGGTTTTTTTGGCCCGGAATGGGTACAGTACCCCCTGTAATCGACCTGTGTCCAGTCGTTGTGCCCGGACCAGGGGGGATTTGGGTCCAGGTACAGGGGCGGATGCGAAAATCCACCTCCACCCCACCCCCCCCCCCCCCACCCCCCCCCCCCCCCCCCCACCCCCCCCGCCCCCAACCCCCCCACCCCTCCCCCCCTCCCTTCCTGCCGTCGGGAGGCGGCTTCGCGTTAGCGATACATTAGAATCAGTAGCACTCGTCATAGTCCTCACCACCACCACCACCACCACCACCATCATCATCATCATCATCATCTTCCCGGAACCCTTGGAACTTCTAGCATCTCAAACCGTCGACCTGTTTCAAGATTTCTGGCGACCGTTGTGATGTTGAAAACGGAGGGATGCTGTTAGCGGCCCGGATACGGAGATTTCTTCAACTAGGGCTTAGGATTGAAGGCTGTTCTTGGAGAAAATCTACACCATTCTAGCGGATTAGTGGGAATGCAACGGAGACTGTAATCGTGTGGAAGTTTTGGGGGTCCCTGAGCTTTTAGCCAGAACCAGGTACATTCGAGCCTTCCTTTAGAAGCCCAAGTCTGACGATTAGCCATTCGTTTCTACGAGCTTGGTCTCGATGGCTTAGGGCTTCGGGTTTAGGATTTTGGGTTTAGGGTCTGGCACGACTGGCTCTCCAAGCCACTAACACCCACTCGGGCATCCGACGGGACCTTATCCAAGTAGAGCTGATGCACTTGTGCTAGATTATGGTGTAGGGTTTGTTTCAGGGCTTCCGGTATGGGCTTTAGGACACTAAGGTTCCGGGAAATAGGTACATCATCAGGTTTCGCATGGGTTTGGAGGCTGCAGGGGGTTTTACAAACCGGGTCTGAAGATGACAGACGCAAGGCTGCACTGACCGTCCGTTTCGGATGTCAGCAGAAAGCGTCGTGAAGTTCGTCTCCATGTGATAAAATCAATGATAAACACTCTTACCCAAAATGCTGGCAATCTATCCTGATGAAATCAACCACCCTGAGACCCTGTACCCGAATATACTACCCTAATACCCTAATACCCTAAACTACCTACCTCTTTATCTAAATGAGACTGCACATCTATAAGACACCGAACCATGGCGCAAAGTCGACCAGATGGTTTAGGGTTTAGGGTTTTAGAGGTTAGGGTTCAGGGTGTTAAAGTTTTAGGGTTCAGGGTTTGAGGGCTTAGTGCTCAGGGTTTGGAGTTTGTGGTTTGGAAATCAAGGCTTGTAGCACGAATCCTGGGTGATCTCCTGATATGTGTCAAGAAAAGCGCTTCAGCACATACATGTACGTGACACAAACATATACATACAGCGATAAGTGCATTCAAATCTACCTCATACACTTACATACTGCGCATACTTTGCCGAAGTCAGGCATGCACGCACAAACATACATACACATGCATGCAAACATGAACACATTCGCACACGTATACATGCAGTCAAAGAACATGCACATGTCGCAGCAGCCGAAACGTCGATCCAGTGGTAAACTCGCATACATACAGCCAAGAGACTTGCCCTTTTATACTACACGAGATAGGCAAGTAAAGGTACGTATATACATAGTTTAGGTAGAGATGCATCCATGCGAACAAGCATATGTACATGCTAAGTGCTGTGACTTTTCGGCTATATTGCGTGGCCGAAGATGATACACAGGCTCCTGCGGGCCTTGAGGAGGACCGCCTGCTGGAAGTGGGGGCCATGTCGCAACACTGACTTGCTCAGCTGATGAAGCCTTCGCAACGTCCGGGCACCTTGGGAGATTGCCGGTGAGTTTGACATGCCCATGCAGATGCGTTTACGTGTACGTATGTATGTGCGCTTCTGGTTTTTGAGAAGGCATGCAGATCGAGCAGACATGCCAAAAAGCATACAAGCATACATACGCACGTTCATTCACACATACGTAAAAGGAATTACCAAGCAGTTCTAACCGCGGTAAACAGTATTGCTTCGGATATACACCCTGCGGAATGTTTGACGCACGGAATCATGTCACCAGGAGTGCATGCATATGAACGTCTGTCCGCATTTGTCTTTGTTTCTTATCTTGCAGTATGTGTGTTGGTGCTTGCCGCATGCAGCTTTTGTTGCGCTTCGGGTCATGTCTTTCGAAATCCAAACAATACAGAATATATTATGAACTATGCTTCAAAATCAGTGACTATTACATATAACATGTTGCACACACCTATGATTGTATATACAATCTTACACACTTCTCTGGTACATATGTGTATGTACATACGTACATACATGCAAAAATGTGTATCTACAAATACAGATACACAGGTATACAGAAATACATAAATGTGCAGATGTACACATAACCATATCCATGTATGTATGTATGTATGTATGTAATGTGCATGTCTCTACATACATCCCAGCAGCGGCTGGCATGCAGAAACGGCAGAAAGCATGCTGCTTCTCCTTGATCCAGCCGCGTCTGCGGAGATCTTTCCTGATGGACCCGTCCTTCCAACGAGCCATCCCTACCAGACTCCTGCAATCTCCTGCATGGCCACTTCCAGGCCGCCCTTGATTCAACCTGAGCGGCCCCTCCTTCTGCAGAAGCTTGGTCCCACCACCTGGGATCCAGCTCGCTCTGGAGGGTCAACACCAGCATCCCCCGTCGGCACGCTGGCGCTCTTGTGGGCGGAGGCTGCGCGTGCTGCGTTGGCTGAATGTGCAGAGGCCGCGTCAACTCACACGGTTTCGCTTGAGTGCCTTGGCATCTGGCATGCTCTCCCGCGTGCCAGAGACTGGTGCGAGGCATGTGGCTTTCTATGTGAAGAGTCGGAAAAAAGGGTCACCAGAATTCGTATGCTAGGCGCGTCTGAGTCAGACTCTCTCGCTCCCAAATGGAGGAAAAAACATGTCTACATATGTACAAGTGTATAGTATGATAAGTATATGTTTAACCTATCTTACTATATGTTATACTGTAGCATGCTACTATCTTATGTCGTCCTGCACTTTGAACTTGCACTAAATATGAAGACAGATATAGATATGATAGTGTATGATATATGCCTATATTATATTCTTTACAATGTAGCTTCACCTCGTCCAAGCAACGAGTTTCTCTCAGGGAGGATCTCAATCGCTTCCTGGCCCCAATCACACTTTCAAAAGGTGGCATGCAATCTAAAAGCCAAAGATCGAACACCATACTAAGATGTCTACTCCACTGGCGATCTTGAACCCCGCAGACTATGATGCACTCTAAAGCTGCAAAAGGCAGGGACCCGGCCTCGGATCAGCGGCCGGGGTCGCGACTGCGATCGTTTCGGACGAGACAGACCAGATCAGCTCAAGACAATCCGACTCTGCCTGCATCAGCTGGGTGTCTTTATCCGGGAAGACTGACTGTTGTAGATCGGATTTGGGAGCCAGGAGGATGTTGGCGCCATGAAGATCTATAGGAATGCTGCGCAGGGCATTGAACCTGCATGTACAATACTGCTGACATGTTGAGTTGGAGATGTGCATCCGCTGATGATTCCCGCCCACCTGATACCACCTGAACATAGCCCGAGACCACACTTCCTCAAGCAGCGGTGGGGCCTGTTCAACCGCATATGGCTATTTGTCTCTGTCTACACCCGAGCCTCTGGTCTGCAAACATCAAACCCGAGACTGCTTACGATGCTGTCGGTCTTCACATTCATTTGATGCCGGATAACGAATATGAAGCCTCATACCACTTGAATTTAAACCAGCAAACATTGATAGAAAACCATGTGGACTTGGCCACACCCGCACTACCGCATCAAGTCTTATCATCTGTCTAGCTGGCAGCTGGCTAAGACAGCGGAAGCAATCTTCACCACTCGTCATCATGGAGCGCAGCACGTGTTCACGAGTCTTGTGCGCTTCAAGAGGTCCAGTATTCTGTCTCGTGACTGAAACATCAGCAAATTAATCACGATCTGGGCCCGTAGGATTTGATAGGGGTGAGCTGAAATTTGGGCTCATCCTTCCTGACGTTCGCTGCGCCTCTGTGAACAAAGGCACAGCCTTTTCGACGACGAAGCCCTTGACAGCACCTCCGGACCACAGCAGTGCGAATGCTCACGCAGAAGCGCTGCAGCACTTCCGCTATGAACCCCCCAAAACCAGAAACCCCAAAGCCGCAACTCCTGAATCCTAAACCCTAAACCTCCAAAACCCAAACCTGGAAGCCCCACACCCTGAATCCCAAACCTTAGCCCCCAAACCTTAAACCGACATCCCAAAACCCACACACTGAATCCCATCCCAAACCTGAAACCGACATCTCATGGCCTAGAGATCTCAGGAACAACGAGCTCGTTTTGGAGGGACTGGGCCCAGTTTGTGCTTCTCGGAGCACCTGCCAAACTGCCAAACCAGTCTTTTTGGGTTGGGGGTTGGGGTTGGGGTTTTGGGGTTCAGGGTTTTGGGCTTTGGGCTTGGGGTTATTTAAGTCTTCGTACGGGTCAAGGGGCGCAGGATGTAGGCTTTGGGCTGGACTTGTCCTGGACTAGCACGCATCTTGCGACAATGACAAGTCGAGTGCATGGTGGTTGTGCTTACAGCTACTCCTCTCAGGCGCTGAGGACCAAAACCCTGTTGCATGAATCTCGGTCACCGCAAATACCCATAACCTGCTTCTTAAGCGAGAGCATTCTAGAACGTACTTTCTGAGACCGAGCGAAAACCACGGTCCTGAGCAGTGAAGTGAGTGAAGAGGTACAGGAGCGCCAGCACAATGACCACAAGGAGCAAGTAGGCGACCCTTTCGAGGTTTAAAGCGTAGAACTGTAGGGCTAAGCGTGATTACGCAGGCGAGGTTTGCATGGCTTCAGCAGAGTGACGCGTGCGTAGTTGCTGCCGGTGGCTGCAGAATGAGAAGTGATGCCACGGCAGAGAAGAGCAGGAAGCGGATCATGGACAGTGTCACCTGCGGCCCAGCTCCGACTCAGCACAGCGAGTTCAATATGCACCGATGGCCTCCACAACGTCAAGGATTTCGGCTTGATCGTTCGCGTATGGCTTGACCCAGGCTGCCAAAAAGACCTGCACGGGCAACAGCTTGAAACGTTCAAGGCTTGGGGTCCAGATGCGGCCGATTCGACGACAGCGACGCATCGTTACCTCAAAACGGTCGACAGCGCAAGCATGCGCAAGCCATCCGACGTCTTCCGAACCCGTGGCAATGCGCTTTGAACGTCGAGTTGTGGGGGAGGGCACGTGGTTGGATGAGCCGAGTGCGCTCGATGTGCAAACTGTCGGGCAAGCATTCGCCGACTCGTGGGGAAGCTTCGACCGAACAGCACCCTCGAGGCACTACGTGAGCCTCAGACTTTGCCTTTGCAGTGTCCCGGGAGTCCCGTCACGAACAAGCGAAGTCGGGATCATATGTTGTGGCTGCAGTCGGGCTTCGGCGCCTGGAAGCCGGAGAGGGTGGGGAAGAGCATGAGCTTGCCCTTCGGATCCGGCACGACGGAAGTGTAGGTGAGAAGCATCATCAAGGCCACGTCCTTATCTGTTCACAGACGCGTCACAAGTCTTGCGAGCGCTGGCGTTCAGCAGATCAGCGTCACAGCGTCTGAGGCCATGTCCAAACGTTTTACGAGGAGGTCCCACCACCAAAACTTCCGCTCCAGACCCTGGAAGAAGTAGCCGAAGCGCCTTCCGGCCCGCTCTCGCTTTCTCTCTCTCCCTGGTTTTTAGGGACGAGGGCTCTCTCACCGGCCTGAAGTTCTCTGAAGCCTGTCTATCTGGGATGCGTAGCAGCATGACAGCCAGCGTCAGCGGGATGCCCAGGCACCAAATCACAAGCCCAGCAATCGCGATGCTGGCTGAAACAAAGTGCTCATCAGACCAGCAGATGACGGAAGGGTTGGGCAGCAGGCGGTTCACGATGACCTCGTCCTCCGGAACTGGAATGCACCAGATCATCTGCAGGAAGATGGACAATAGCCCAGGCCACAAGGAGACCAGGCTCACCCAAACCACAGGGAGGCTCTGGCTCAAGAGCTCGCCCAAGCGTGGTGTCGCTGAGAAGAGCCCGAAATCAAGGGTCTCCACCACCTGCAAATCAAAAACATCCCAGGTGGGCAGGCGGATCTGGCTAAGGCTGGGCTACAATGAGTGTCGTTTTCAGCGCGGCACCGTATCCACGTGGCTGAAGTCCTGCTCTGATGCCGCAATCTGCATGTCGCATATGTCGCATGGCCTCGGCGCATTCAAGAGTGCTCCCCCACAGAAACCGAGTTCTGGCCGGCGCAGTATTCATCATGACTTGCTCAGGCATAACATGTCTGAGGAGAGGACACAAGGTCGATACCTATAGTCCGCAAAGTGTCTTCGGCCGCCTCCCGACCGCAAACGTGCTCTGAGCCCTCCAGATGCTGCTCTGCGTCGTTCTCTTCGGATTCGGAGTGTTCCGAGGCTTCCTTGGATGCCTCAGCGCTGGGGAGGTTGCCGCCGGTCCGCACTTCATCCACGACCAGATCCAGCATGCTGGCGAAATTCTCGAATTGCATGGCGAAATTAGTCGTCAGAAAAGGCCGCAGATCTGCCTGCAACAAGCGGGACATCCCTGAAAATCGCAGACAAGTAAGTAACTCTCTGGGTCCGGGTGGGCCTGGCCTGCGAAAGCTCCTCGTGCACCTGCTGCACCTGCACCTCGGCCTCCTGCGGACCTCGGGCTGCTCGGGCCGCTCGGGCTGCGCAAGCCCGCACCAGGAGCTCCCGGGATGCGGCCACCGCTCTGCAGAGGAAGGCGTCCAGGTCCTCCGCTGCCTGCTGCACCTGAGCCTCGCTGTGGAAATGCAGGGCGCCCGAGCGCTCCAGGTCCACCCAAGAGAAGGTGACAGGAGCCTTCGATGTCGGAGCCACAGCAGGAATGTCGGACATGTTGGGAAAGGCCTCGCCAAGCATCTGATCCACTGCCTCGCGCAGACTTCTCATAGCCTTGGCCTTCTTTAGATGGCGGCGTCCAGCGTCGTTAAAGGCGATGCCCAGGCGCTTGCCCAAAGGTACCAGGACATGCACCACCAGCAAAGCCAGAAGCAGGATGCCCAGAATCACCAGCACCGGCAGGATGAGGTAGTACACCCCGACGGCTATGCTCGGGCCCGTGCTCTGGGAAGAGAGCCAGGAAGTTGAGGCCTCTGCAAGGCTGCAAGACTCCCCACACCCAAAAGTGCTTTTCTCAAGGCAACCCCCGCCTGGGCTAAGCACTGTGCTGCGGAGTCGATGGAGGTCAAGACAGGGGTCAGCGTGAGGGTCTCGAAGAGGCCTAGCATTGCGGCAGTGACCTGTGCGGGCCACGGGAAGAGCCGGGTATCCTCCTCTCTGTAGTCCGTGACCTCGTTGATAGGTATCCTGAGTTCGTGCTGGGGACATGACTGCACTAGCCAATGTTCGTGCGGAAAAAAGAACCCGATACGACTTGCATCACAACCTCAAACCCTGCACCTCAAACTCGAAATCGTAAAACCTCTGAGTGAACCCTCAATCTGAAATCCTAGACTATAGACTGCACATCCTAAGCCCAGTATCTGGGTCAAGTCGAAGGTTGCCAGGACCGAGCAGGCAGCCAGCCACTGGGTGGCTATGCGGATCATCACCTCACTGGTGCTGAACAAATATAGGGCTACTACAAGGGGTTCTTTAAGGACTAAACGATGATAGGGAGGTGCTTGAGGAGAGGGGGAGGAAGGAACATCAGGACTACTGTACAGGATTACATATGGGCCATTTCAAGATATCCACTCTCCAACCATTTCCCAAGTCCCCTTGAAGCGCCAGCAAGTCACTGTGTGCAGCTTGCTGCTTGCTCTGACGGCCGCTGTTGCTGCCATGGACGCCACGACGAAGCTGACGGTGGCCTCCGGGCGGATGCACTGTAGGCTAATGGAAGCACAGTATCGTGTAGACTCTTATCACATGGCATCCTGTAGTTTCGAAGAGCAAATTTTATGTTACAGTAACTTTTGGCCTGTGGCAAATTGTAGTACTGCGCTGCTCAGACTCTGCATTGCATCAACTCCGGAACTCCCATAACAAACAGTCGAGCGCTCTATCACCACCTCCAGGCTGGCTCAATCTGTCAGGAGTTGCAGATTTATGCGAACGGCGCGTGCGGCCTTCGTGCCAACATCAACGACGACTGCCGAAATCAGTGGCGAAGTAGCGCCGGCCGCACACGGTACGCAGGGCTGTTGGAAGGCACTCCTGGCCCAACCAGCTGGGCATTCTCCACAAAGGAACCCTTGTGGAACCTTCATCACAAGCATTGTCATACTTGCCGAAGCATTCCACCGTGTCACCTTGTGCGCATAGTTGTCCTCCGAGGCAAGCGCTGAGGCCAGTGGCCGTGACGGCCGTGCACTTCACGGCGACGGTCACTCCTGTCTGGAAGAAGCCAGGACGAGCGACAGGCAGCCTGTGGTCGCCGGCCTGAACGACACCCGCCCGAGTGTGAAAACCACCAGGGCATTGCAAATGAGGAAGGAAGGCACAACTGGCGCACCTGGATAGCAATCCTTCCTCGCGAACTGCATAAAATCCTGGCATGCAGAAGCAGTCTGTTAAGTTTGTGGACGCATTGGCACTCTCGGCGTTCGTGGGGCACTGTAAAGGGCACCATGCATCGTTAGCCAATGTTGGCTTGTATCGTCCAGGCTGGCAAGGCTCACAGATGCCCTGAGCTTCAAGGGCATAGAACCCTGGGAGGCACAGGCAATCTGCCTGCAAGATGGAGCCGACGCGTGAGGTGGCATTATCCTGGCATCGCTGCTCTTCACCCTGGCCCGGGCAGAAGAAGCCTTCTCTGCAGTCTCGGCAGGTTTCGCCCTCTGCTGCAAGACCTGAGCGGCATTGACAGTCAAAGGGAGACATGGCAGCCTCCATAGAGGTTTTACTGGCAGAGCACCGGCTGCACGGGGTGTCGCCCACCAGTTCTTTGTATTCGCCCGGAAGGCATGGTGTGCACTGTGCGATCTCCTCGTCAAAACCGTAGCCCTGTCGACATCTGCAGCGCTCTGTGCTTCCAGTGTCGTTGCTGAAGGTGCCAGTACCGCACGGCGAGCACGGGAAGTCTCCAACGCTGCCCTTGAAAAATCCAACTGGACATGGGGTGCAAAGCCCGTCTTCCAAGAAGCTGCCAGCCCTGCAGAAGTGTCGCTCTCGGTGGCTTGGGACGGAGCACACGCCTGCCGCGTCTGCAGGCCCCCTGTGCAGAAGAAGCCCACGCCGCAAGCTTCGCAAACTGCAGGATTGTCGGGCTGCGTGTTGAAGAAGCCCGGCATGCACGTGCAGGACGCAAGGCTGGTGGCTCCTTCCTCCAGTCACAAGCAGGTATGCCGGTACGCCGTGTAGGTAAAAAAAGAAAGAGAAGAAACCTCAAGCTACCTACAGTATGAACATGTACAAACCAGCAGATAACTTGCCTGCAACGTCGAAGACCCAGCCGGGCACACCAAGCAGATGGCGCTCTCTGCATCCCAGTAGCGTCCTTGAAGGCACAGGCAATCGGAGAGCTGGCCTCAGCGGAAGAGCACAGACGAGTCTGTTGTGGTCTGTTGCTCGGCGCGATCAGAAGAGCGCGCATGCGATGCTGTCGGCTGGGAGGCGGACTTGAGCCCTGTGCCGAAGTGCTCGCCGACGGACAGCTCTGCATGTCCGATCCTCCGCGGCAGAAGTGGTTCGCCGGACAGGGCAGGCAGAAGGAGCCGGGCCCTTCGCTGTACTCGCCGGGTGGGCAGATGACGTCCAAGCTCAGGGCGACCACACGAAAGTCCTCTGTCGAAGCGCAAGGGCCCATGGCAGGGCACCAGCAAAGCTCCAAAGCTTCAGGCTGTAGGCCTTCCGTTGGATCCAGGAAGCCCACGTGCAAGGTGTACCAGCCGTACGACTCGTTGAAAGAGATGGTGACCGAACGCTGCGAGTAGGTGGAAGCGACCTGGGCCTCTCCGCTGCATCGGCTCTTCATCACGATGCTGTCGTTCACGGAAATGCCAACTCCTCTCCACTCTGAAATCGTACAGTCCCTGCCTAGGTAGCATTGAGCAGACTGGCGCAGCTGCGGCCCCTCCACGACAAAGTAGCCCACTGTCACACTGAAGTTGTCAGGATGACTGCAGTTGGTGTCACACCAGCACAGGCGGTGATGCCCCGGTTCTGCCAAGAAAGGGGATACACTGCCTCCGATTCTCCAGAGATCATCCTCCGCTTCAGAGAGCAGGAGTCCTGCCAAAGTGTCCGCGTCGGAGCAGGTGCGCTTCACAGCGCCAAAGCCCGAGGCATTCCAGCGGAAGGAACAGTTGCGGCCTTGCGTGAAGTTGACCAGCCAGGGCGAGCTGGTCTGAGAGACCACGTATCGCCAAGTTTGGTGCAAGTAGGAGGCATTGAAGCCACCGAAGGACAGCAGCCCACGAGAAGAGTCATCCCAAACAATGGCATGACCCGAACGGCCGGTCGGGCCTGAGATCTCGGTTTGCAAGCCCTCTTCCTTCCAGGAGTTCGTCAAGAGGCTGTAGTTGTACAGAGAGGCATCGTAGCTGAGGTCGTTGCTCCCATTGGTGATGCCGCCCATGACTAGCATGCTCATTGAAACCGGGTCCCAAGCAGCGGCATGCCCAGCACGAGCCGCAGGCCAATATCCTGCAGCTGACAAGTCGGTCCAGGTGCCTGCTGAAGCATCGTAGCTGCGGAGGTCATCCAGGTACTGCTGCCCACTCCACCCGCCAAAAACGAGCATAGAGCGGGTCGTGGGCACCCAGACGGCTGTGTGCCGGCTGCGGGCTCCGGCCCCTGTCGTAGGAGACTCGCTCCACTGGCCGTCTGCCAAACTGTAGCGCTGGAGGTCCTCCAACACTCCTGCATTGCTGGTCTCTCCCCCGAAGACGAGCACCGCATTTTCCACGGGGTCCAGGATCGCGGTGTGGTAAGCACGTGCCGACGGCTTCGCAGGCAATTGAGTCCAGGTGCTGCCCTCACTGCGAAACTGCCAGGTGTCATCGTAGAAGGTGACTTGAGACCTGCCTGCAAAAATCAGCATAGACCTGGAATTCGAATCCCACACAGCTGCGTGGCCCCATCTGCTGCCTGGGGTCGGGCCCTCGTTCAGCGGCAGGATCTCTGCCCAAGCTCGCCGAGGCCAGTCGTAGTGCCACAGGTCCGCGAAGTAGAGGAAGGCGTTGCTGGCGTGGCCCCCGAACATCCATGCAGACTGAGTCGCGGTGTCCCAAACCATCGAAGCCTCCTGGCGCCCGGCTGGGCTTGCGGAGGGCGTGTACTCGCTCCACGCGTCCGACTTGCACTCGACGCCTGCACTGAAATTAAGCCACAAAAGAAAGCAGCAGCACATAATTGAGCTAGTTGAGCTTACAGTCAAAAAGCAATGCCAGAAATGCTCTTTGTTTCAGTGGCCTGCGGCTTCTTCAGGAGCGCAGTCGTGCAGGTGCCAGCCGCGGAAGCTGCAGTTGCGAAGGCTCACTTCTGTGCCTGTACACCGAACGTTGTCAGCGAGGATGGTGCCAGCCCTGGCAGCACCCCACATTGCTAGGGCCGGCAGGGCCCTGCCACCGGCCAGGCCGAGATCCCGGCAGGCCACTTGCGCCACCCGATCGTTAACGCCATCGTCGCAGACTTGGCCGATGGACGTGTCGTGCTGCAATTGAAGAAGCCCTGTGGCAAAGCCATGGTCTGCGACGGCAAGCAAGCTGAGACCCTGGAGGCCAGCAGCACCAAAGGTCAGGGGGAAGAGCTCCGCAGGCACCAAAGCCACACCAAGCTCGCCTGGCACCTCACCGACGCTCTGCGTGCTGCCAATGCCCAGCTCGCCAGAACTGCCCTGGCCCCAGCACCTGGGCAGCATCCATGCGGAAACTCATGGTTGGGGCATTTACGGCTCTGTTGGGGATCGGAGGCACCTTGTGCTGTCGTCGTTCAAGAGCACGCAGGTGTGTCCGAAACCGGCAATCACATCGCGTACTTCGCGATTGCCGAGGCCGACCGCGCGGAGATTGGAGCCCATCTCCGAGGGCTTGTCCCCCAAGCTCGCTGTGCTGCCCTGGCCAAGCCTCGGGAAAGTGACTGCTTCCAAAGCACTGCTGCGTGCCTCTAGCCCTAGCCAACTGGGGCCCAGGCTGGCCGTTCAATCCCCAGCCCCAGCACTTGAGGGTTGCATCTTGGAGGATGGCACAGGTGTGAAAATTGCCTGCAGTGATACGGAGAACCGTCATGCCCTCGCCCAGATCCGTAGCAGGAAGGTTCAGGCCCATCTCACCGGGCTGGTCACCGGCGGCTTCACGGTTACCGTGTCCAAGTTGCCCATCATCATTCACACCCCAGCACTTTACGGAGCCGTCCGCCAGCACCTGCCACAGGCAATGTGATACGCTACGATAGAACGAGTCCAGCGCACTGGATGCGGGCAAGCGGCGGCGCAGGTATGCTGTGCCCCGGCTGCGATCTGCACGGCAGGAAGGGGACCCAAATCCACTGCAGGTAGAGCATCACCCATCTCGTTGGGGCCGGCGCCGATGTACCCTTCACTGTCGTCAAGTCCCAGTCCAAGGTCGGTGCTCCATCCCCAGCATTTCACGGCACCTTGGCTTGACAGCGCACAGCTGTGGTATTCTCCCAAGGCCAGCTGCACCGCTTCGAAGTCCGTGCCGAGGTCAACCGCCGGGAGCGCCGAGCCCATCTCGCCGGGCTCGTCGCCGCGGTTCAGCCTTAGGTGTCTTGTGCACACAACTCTCTCTGAAGCACCTGCACCTGGCAGCGGCAGAGTTCGAGCCTCTGGGGCCCCGCGCGTGTCTCCCAAGCCCAGCACGTTGCTCCAGCCGAAGCACTTCACCAGTCCACCTGGGCCTCGAAGCAGAGCGCAGGTGTGGGAATATCCAGCGGCCACCTGCATCACCTCCACGCCAGGGCCGAGGTCCACGGCCGGCAGGTGTTCGCGCATCTCAGAAGGACCGTCTCCAACGTTGTCGGTGTGTCCATAGCCAAGCTGGCCAGCATCGTTGTACCCGAAGCATTTCAGCAGGCCAGTCTCGAGAACTGCACAGGTGTGATAAGCACCGCAGGCCACCTGAGTCACTCGAAGGCCGGGCTCCCCGAGGTCCACGGCCGGAAGGCTCTCCCCCATCTCACCGGGAGCGGTGCCCGCATTTGCCTGGCTGCCGGAACCCAAGCGGCCGAAAAATCCCATTCCCCAGCACTTCAGGAGGCCTTCGGCGCTGAGAACTGCACAGTTGTGCCAACCACCAGAGGAAAGGCTTAGGAACACCGCAGGGGCTGCTTCGGGCCCCTCCCAGGCGAGGATTCCGTCCAAAGCTACTTCGGTTTCTTGGGTTGCCGCATCGGAGTACACAAAGCGGAGCATCTCCACCCCGCTTGGGAGCGTGACCTTGGCCTGAAGCCAGTCAGACCCTTGGTTTGCTTGCCGGGACCAGCGCAAGCTCCAGCTGCCTCCTTTCAGGTACCGCAACTCCAGCTTGCCGACGCTACTCCCAAACATGTGGAAAGCGAACTCCAGGTAGGACACGTTGGCGAGCTTGGGGAAGAGCGGGCTGGTGAGCACGAACACCTGCAGGCAGGGCATGGGGCACGGGGCAGATCGAAGAGTTTCTGAAACGTTTCACCGCTGCCTCAGCTATTCCTCCTGCATAAACATAGCTCTCCGCGTGGAAGGCAGTCTCGGGCCCTGTATCAGAAGGATCTTCGGAGGGGCCGCTGCGGCGCTGCCAGGCTCCCCACCACTTGCAAGCGTCCTGCTCGAAGCTGCAGCTCACATCCGACAGAGCTCCGACAAGGAATCCAGCTTGACTAGATCTGCCTCACTGGTCACATTGGCGAGCAAGCGCAGGGACACCGTGGAAGCAGGGATGGAGACGATGGCGGTGTGCCAGCCAGCGCCGCGGCTACCGGACTCCAACAGCAATTGCTGCCAGACTCCAGCGGAGGTTTGGTGTTGTACCTCCAACGCCACGGTGTCTGAGCCGTTCAACTGATAGTCGAACACCAAGAGCTTCCCCTCAGTGGTGTTGAAGATCGCAGCCGTTTCCAAGATCCATGTTGATTCCTGGGAACCGTTCTGCTGCCATGACAAGGCAGCAGTGCTTTGCCACAGGCCGCTATGCAGACGGAAATCACAGAAACGGAAATCACAGGTGAGCTGATGGAACTCCACGGTGGTCAGCCCAGTGGCAATGGCGTCCAGCGCCATGTCACTCCACAAGCCACCCTCTATTGTAGCTCCGATGAAGCGGACTGCTGCGACGTGTGGTGGCAAGCGCACAACTGCCAAGTGCCACTGCAGGCCCTGCTGTCCTGTTCGTGACCACAGCTGGGTCCACCCAGCGCTGCCGAAAGCTTCGAGTCGTAGGCTGCCCATGTCACTCCCAAACATGTGGTAATGAAAGTAGAGATACAGATTGGCTGGGGACGGCTCGAACATGCTGCTGGTCAAGATGAAGTCCTGCAGGGAGGACGCAGTCCAAGCAACACAGGCTGGGCAGGCCCCACCTTGTTCCTAGGACTAGAGACGCTGGGCCCACTTGTGATGTTGGCATGTTGGGATTGCATCGGAATCTAACATGATGTTACGGTAGCACTCAGCCGATCATCGGAGCATCCGGCCTCGTCGCGAGCCCGAGACTCCACATAGGCGTACCATTGGCTCTGAACCGCCGCTGACGGTCCAGTCTCGACCCAGGCACTGCCGGTGGATCGCAGCCAGGGATGCTCGCCGGTGGACCAACTACAGAGGTCGAACTCGAAGTCGCAAGCTGTCTCCGTGAAGTGCCCAACGTTCGCTGCACGGAGCGAGTCGATTCGCACGACATCTGCCTCACTGGTCACATTGGCGAGCAAGCGCAGGGACACAGTGGAAGCAGGGATGGAGACGATGGCGGTGTGCCAGCCAGCGCCGCGGCTACCTGACTCCAACAGCAATTGCTGCCAGACTCCAGCGGAGGTTTGGTGTTGTACCTCCAACGCCACGGTGTCTGAGCCGTTCAACTGATAGTCGAACACCAAGAGCTTCCCCTCAGTGGTGTTGAAGATCGCAGCCGTTTCCAAGATCCATGTTGATTCCTGGGAACCGTTCTGCTGCCATGACAAGGCAGCAGTGCTTTGCCACAGGCCGCTATGCAGACGGAAATCACAGAAACGGAAATCACAGGTGAGCTGATGGAACTCCACGGTGGTCAGCCCAGTGGCAATGGCGTCCAGCGCCATGTCACTCCACAAGCCACCCTCTATTGTAGCTCCGATGAAGCGGACTGCTGCGACGTGTGGTGGCAAGCGCACAACTGCCAAGTGCCACTGCAGGCCCTGCTGTCCTGTTCGTGACCACAGCTGGGTCCACCCAGCGCTGCCGAAAGCTTCGAGTCGTAGGCTGCCCATGTCACTCCCAAACATGTGGTAATGAAAGTAGAGATACAGATTGGCTGGGGACGGCTCGAACATGCTGCTGGTCAAGATGAAGTCCTGCAGGGAGGACGCAGTCCAAGCAACACAGGCTGGGCAGGCCCCACCTTGTTAAGACCAGAGACGCTGGGCCCACTTGTGATGTTGGCATGTTGGGATTGCATCGGAATCTAACATGATGTTACGGTAGCGCTCAGCCGATCATCGGAGCATCCGGCCTCGTCGCGAGCCCAAGACTCCACATAGGCGTACCATCGGCTCTGAACCGCCGCTGACGGTCCAGTCTCAGCCCAGTCACTGCCGGTGGATCGCAGCCAGGGATGCTCGCCGGTGGACCAACTACAGAGGTCCACCTCGTAGATTCTCATAAAGCACAAGGATTGCCTGCTGGGCGCCCGGCCGAACCTCGAAGCCGCAGCTGACGGCATCCCATGGAGCTTGCAGGGCTCGGGGGCGATGCTCCTATGCGTCACACATGGGTCCAGATCCGTTCGACAGTGATGCAAAGATGGCGGGCTACAGCTCCTGCGAAGTTTGGCTGGACCTGGCAGCACAAAGAATCTGCGAATGCCCGTCCTGTCAGGTGGTCTGCCACTGGGGGAAGAGCGTGGCTCTTGTCTCTCTCCTGCCTCGTCCCTGTGCAATCCAGTCAGAAAGGCTTGCACCTCCATCCTGCCAAGCGGAAGCAGCCAACGCGAGCCCTCCGAATGCAGCGACTTCGAGGAGTGGCCTGCCAGGCGCAACTTTCACGACGCAGCGTTGTGAGGTCAGAAGCTCGTTCGTGACGATGCAGTCTGCCCCAATGGCACACGGCCTTGGTCGGAGTCGGAACACGGGGAAGCACAAGACCTGACCCTAAGGACGTTCCTGGGATGGTTTTCTACAAACCCTGATGAAAACCAGTCCAAGCCTGGACAATCCTGGACATATGCACTTACAAAAGTAGCGTCGCTTCGTTTCAGATGCTCCTGGAAAGCAAAAGGTCGGACATGATTCGAGTCGTGTAAGACTGTGTTGCCAACTGGGAAGAGCGGGAGATGTGCTGCGTGCTGCCAATGAGCGTCACCAAAGCCCTCAACCCGGTTCATTGCAGCATTGGAGTTTCTTGGCGCGCCCGGTTCTTAGGATACTCCGCAAAGAAGGCCACTGTTTCAGACTAGTGAAGAATCGACACCGTGTGCAGGTTTTGGAGCCTGCAAGACTTCAAGCTGCGACAACTAAGGGCTGGGAAGATTTGGTTGTGGTTTAAGCAAAGAACGCGTCAAGAAAGCTTCGGAAGGCTCGCGGCAGATCGCAAATGCCAAGGCATTAAAGCCCCACGGAGATGTTGATTCACAGTTTGAACGGGTTCTGCCGATAGCTTCTGCAAGGATCAGTTGTGACTAACGAGTGTAGGTTGAAAGCACAGGAGCATCTGGGCTGCGGACCCACTCACCATCCAGGCAGGCGAGCCTCCACAGCACAGCTCCCTTTCTTTTGATCTTTGTGGGGACTGAGGGACTCGAGACTCTCAGGAAACTTTCCATGTTCCCCAACCTTGAGAATCAACGGCCATCTCGCTCGAGTGGCTACCCAACCTCGCCGCCGTCTCCTCAGCAGAGCAGGATTCTAGACAGAGCAGGCTGGGCTGCATCGGGCTGCATCATGCTGCATCTCACAGCTCCAGCCACAACAGCTCATTCGCCGACGATTCCTAACAGTTATAACAACGACAAACATGTGAGGCTTCTTCGAAATGTCTCCCCCTGTAATGGCACCCTGGCCTCGGCTTCAGCGAGGCACAGCTTCCAGCGCTGGGGAGCCTTTTGGAGAGCTTGCAGGTGGAGGCTTCGGGTTCGGGGCGGTTAGGGGTGGCGAGCGGCGAAGTTGCAAGCCCGCACAATACCAGGACCGGGACGCCTCCCAAAACCTCCTACTGAGCGATCAGACAACGGGCCTTTGTGTTGGGTTTGTCTCTGGGCTCTGCGAAGACCTCAAGCCGCGGCACGTGGCACATGGACTTCAGGCACGGCTTGGAAAAAGAACTCCAACCGTACTCAATCTGCGAATCATTCCTGCCTCCTGGACGTCTTTAGTCGCAAAGGGTATGATCTCGATGGCAATGGGCCTTCACCATCTGCAACTCACATACAGGAGATGACTGCAAGCCGGTCTCGCACAGGAAGAACCATCATAGTCATCATACTGTTTATCGTCGTCGACGCCGTCGTCATCAACACAATCACTTTCACCTTCATCATCACAATCTTCTTGATCATCATTGTCTAAATACGGGGGTTTCAGCCCAGTTGGAACTCATCCGAACAAGCCCTCAAGTCAAGCGGAGAGATGTGGGACAGTGCCAAGCTGAGAATCCCTGACAATATCCGCCTGCCGCCATGTCCGAGTTCGATCGTGCAATGCTTTTGATTGTTCGGCACGTCTGTGCTGACGACACAGCCATCTTCCTGGACGATGCAAGACCTAAGCATGGCTTCCACTGCTGCAGTTCACGCAGGAGGGCAAAGGATGCTTGAGCTGTGACCCCATGCAGGACACCTCAGGCTCGAACCCCGCGCTTACCTGCAATGCCGGTGAACCCAAGCTACCTGCAGCCCACGCAGACGGCGACAGCATGTGCAACCCGACGCGCGTTGCCACGAAGGCGAACCGACCCAAACGAGGCTTCACCTTTGCATGAACGCAGTTACGAGTGTAGTTGCTCCGGGCAGGGAATATCGAGAATGAGTCCTTGAGGGTAGTCAAGTCCACCAGTTCCACTATTGCCGGAACTGCGCATGAGAATTCTCAATCTGATAATGCTAATGTGCTTTTTCAAAATCAGGGTTAGAGCTTCCGAACTTTCACTCGACCGGCCTCGAGCGGAGCGAGTACAGGAAATCCACAGCAGATACCAAATCGACATCATCTTCCTGCCACATCCAGTAGCACAAAGCGTGGTGCATCGTCAAGCCGCCAAGCCAGGGAAAGCTTCAAATCTCAACACCTACGCATGTCCCCACCCCCCGTCCTTCACCCGTAGTGCCCTGTGTTGGAACCGCACAGCATGTCTGCAATCTGCACATTGGAGCCCACTGGTTGCGGCAA